AGCAAGAAAACTGTTTACGGAAGGAAGACAACAGATTTATCTTCATTCATAATAGTAGACAATTTATGGTAATGGTTAAGGTGGAGGAAAAGGAAGAGGTGAAAAAAAAACTATTTCCACTGACGGTTGGGAGTGAAATCTACTCCCAGACAACGGAGCAAGTTAATAGAAACAAAACCAACAAACATTATCAGCAAACAACAACAATGACAATGATACATAATAATGAACAATCAAAGTTAATATTAGACTTGAACTCGAATCAAGATCAACCATTGAGATACCATGTAAATGTTTCACCATGTAATACAAACTAATAATAACTCACTGTTGTAGTTTCGTCATGTATTTACTTATTGAAAGGTAATTCAATCATTAATGTAATTGTTATATTTATGGATTTTCATTTGAAGGACATTATGGACATTGACAGTTATTATAATTGTTTTTTGTTTCCTTGCTAACATTAATATTCAAATATATCATCATCATAATCGTAATCACGATAACATGATACGTCAGAATTAAAAATAACCGAAATCATTTATTTTGTCACAAATCAATGAATTTCTCGTGAATCACTTTTTTTACCTACACACATCATGATACCTGGAGATTATTTCATGATGTTTTTTTTTATTCCTGAATTAGTATCTATTGCTATCCATCAAAAGGGTATTCATATCTACTATGAAGATGCATTAAATATATTATCAACTTTTATCATTAATTTGAAGAGAAATTTTGATTTTTCAATTCATTCTATTGATAAAGAATCCATGTTGAACTCAGAAAACCATATCGAGTGAAATATTATCAGAATTTTATCTCAACAAATGATGGATGAGATTCAAAGAGTGAAAGAGAAAAAGAAAGAGATAGTTGCATGGGGATTCGAAGGGATTGACTCAAGATATTGACAAAATGGTTATTTTTTATATTTGATTCCAACTCGAGAATAGGGAAAAAAATGATCAACTCAATTGAATTTGTGAATGGAAAATTTTGATAGAGTAATTGATAGAAAATTGTGAATTCTTTTTTATGAAGTTCCGATTGTAGAAACATCTATTCAGTACCTTTATTAGATTCAATCGATTGTCATTTATGATTACCTTTTATTTGATAATATTTCTACTCTCTCACAATATTATCAATATATTATCTTCTCTCTCTCTCTCTCTCTCTCTTTTGATATTGTTATCATCATGCTGAATAATATAAGTAAGTTTTATCTATTCAGTTGACCAGAACTTTCCCTTTCTTTTTTCTCTCTATTTTCGCTCTATCAGTTATTATTATCATGATGGTGACCATCATCTCTGTTGACCTTTTATTTTGTCTTATCAAATCACGCAAGCAACTTCCATGTTCAAGATGAAGATGGAATAAGAAAATTCTGTAAATGATAAACATTCCTCATGGCTCATTTTGCTTCTTCCAAAGCCTCGCCCTACTTTATCACTGAATATCATTGATCAATTCTAGTGACAGTCATTAATTTTAACTTGGATTTATCATCATCATCAGCATCATGTGAATATAACACCAATTGTAACCATTTCAGTCTCTACTGATTTCTAATATTTATATAGTTAATCTATTACACACTATCATGTTGATAATGATGAGCATGGAGATATATCATGGTTATGAACAAAAGTTTCAATTTCATGATACAAGAAATATAAGAAGGCATAAGAATCCATAGAAATCACATATTATCAATCGATCTGAAAGTTCATCTGATCAGTAAAACAACTATTAGCTCTGATGTATTATCATTTTGTTGACAATTTTCATGTTCAATTCCGTTTCCTTAGGAAGGATTGACTCAAGATATTGACAAAATGGTTATTTTTTATATTTGATTCCAACTCGAGAATAGGGAAAAAAATGATCAACTCAATTGAATTTGTGAATGGAAAATTTTGATAGAGTAATTGATAGAAAATTGTGAATTCTTTTTTATGAAGTTCCGATTGTAGAAACATCTATTCAGTACCTTTATTAGATTCAATCGATTGTCATTTATGATTACCTTTTATTTGATAACATTTCTACTCTCTCACAATATTATCAATATATTATCTTCTCTCTCTCTCTCTCTCTCTCTCTCTCTCTCTCTCTGATATTGTTATCATCATGCTGAATAATATAAGTAAGTTTTATCTATTCAGTTGACCAGAACTTTCCCTTTCTTTTTTCTCTCTATTTTCGCTCTATCAGTTATTATTATCATGATGGTGACCATCATCTCTGTTGACCTTTTATTTTGTCTTATCAAATCACGCAAGCAACTTCCATGTTCAAGATGAAGATGGAATAAGAAAATTCTGTAAATGATAAACATTCCTCATGGCTCATTTTGCTTCTTCCAAAGCCTCGCCCTACTTTATCACTGAATATCATTGATCAATTCTAGTGACAGTCATTAATTTTAACTTGGATTTATCATCATCATCAGCATCATGTGAATATAACACCAATTGTAACCATTTCAGTCTCTACTGATTTCTAATATTTATATAGTTAATCTATTACACACTATCATCATGTTGATAATGATGAGCATGGAGATATTATCATGGTTATGAACAAAAAGTTTCAATTTCATGATACAAGAAATATAAGAAGGCATAAGAATCCATAGAAATCACATATTATCAATCGATCTGAAAGTTCATCTGATCAGTAAAAACAACTATTAGCTCTGATGTATTATCATTTTGTTGACAATTTTCATGTTCAATTCCGTTTCCTTAGTTTTTTTATCAACATCAAATTCAAATCATCTATTTCCAAGAAACATCATGATAACTGATGATTAATTGATAGTTTATACTACAAACAATTTGGTAACAATTTAACTTTCTAAACATAATCAGTAGCATTTATCATGATTGAACTTTTAAATGAACTCAAGATAAAAAAGTAACATAAATGACAGAATGAATGAATTACATGGAAATTAACACCATAATGTGTGAGAAAGAAAAAAACTTTGAGCCTATTGGTTTGAGTTTTGGAACTTTCAGATTTTCATGACTATTTTATTTCTCTCTCTCTCTCTCTCTCTCTCTCTCTCTCTCTCTCTCTCTCTCTCTCTCTCTCTCTCTCTCTCTCTCTTCCTGTAATCACGATAATTACTTTAATGTATTAATACATGTCTGTTAGTGAGCATTTATACAAACACATCTGAATAAATTTCTAGAGTAAATGTTAATCTCTATAATTAAATGGATACCGTTTGGTAAGTGAATTAGCTGTAACCTTGAAGTAACAAGATTTTCCTTTTTATTAACTTGTCTATTAACAGAATTCATCTGATCAGAATTGTTGAATAATCAAACCCATCATCATTTTCATCATCACCCACTCGTCCACCTTTCCACATAATTCACTAAATCAGTCAACAACAACAACAACATGTAGACAATGTAGACAACCTCTATTCACATGATATTCATACTCTGTGCATTATTGATATTATCCTTGGTCCACTGGGAATTTAAATGGTCAAGAGTTATAATAATAATGAGGTTGCACTTTTATCCCACCCTGTACCTTACATTCATCTCTCTAGATTAACTATCCCTCCTCCTCCTCCTCCTCCTATTGATCAATTATTGGGTTTATGCATTTGCACCAACAATCAACTTAACTGATTCACTAACCCTTAACTTTTGTGACCATTATTTTATTATCACCTTACCTGCTGGTCAGTATGTGATAACATTGACCACTAATGGAATCATCAAAATCATCACTAATCATTATCATTGAAATAAACTCGTATTTAGATACATACATTATACAAAATACTCAATCAAAGTCACATCGTAAATTAAATGTTACCAAAATAAGGGAAAGAAAAAAAAATCTATCAACTTATCATGAGAATGAATTAGTTGAGAATCAGTTGATGTTTTCAACAGTTTTAACTCCCACCAACATGATGATGATAATGTTATCATCTTAAGCTATTGATGATCTAAGGAAAAGTGTCACAACTCATGACACAAAATAAACAATATTAATCTTATCTGAGTGTTATAATATTACTGAAATGATAACAAATGATGTTAAATCAACTGAACAAACTTACTCCCAAAAATATAATGAAATCTGAATAGGAATTGAATCATGAGCTAAATAATGAAATTAATAGTGATGTTAATGATGATAACATTAATTTGATGGATACGCAACCATAATAAATGATATTATTCATATTCAATTCAATTCAATTCAATTTTAACACTGAACAGAAACTCAGTCAATCTGTAATATTTTTTAGGATAACATTTAAAATCTATGGATAATGTTATGGAAATCAGGATCATTAGCATTTATTTTTTGACATCATTTTTATTAGTTCATTTTAGTCATCAGTTGATTGAGATATGTTCAGATTCAGTGGTTTCTATTCAATTACCCTGAAGGTTTGAAGTAATCATTTGAATATCAAGTAAAAATAACAATCAACTAACAGACTATTTGATTAGCCAAATCAATCGTAACTATTGAGTTTATGCTTAAATCAATCATGATATTACACGAAAAATAATTCATCAGTGATTCATAAGATTAGCTGATCAGAATTTTCAATCACCATGAGCTCTGGTGGAGATATTCAAAGATGAAAAGTTCATGTTGAGAAATGAAAAATAATAAGTTTTTTGCTCTCAAATTGATTTTCCATTAATAATTAATGCTCATGTAATTCATGAGTAATTAAATCTTCTGGGAGTTGGTAATGTTTTGCTTTTGGATCACTTTTTGACCATTGGTCAAGTTATATGATAACAAAAAACTGGGTGAAAATATTGATTATATAAATTGTGCAACTTTTTCCTGAACAAAAGGAAACAATTTTGAAACAAACGACAAGAGTGAAAGTTTCAAGAGGTTATGGAAAGTTGTATTTATTTGTGGTCACTTATTGGGTCATTTTTATATAAAATCAATTGTAATAAATGGTCAATTGGTCAACTTACTTGAAGGATCTTTACGATATTCTGATTCTTCAACTTCGTCTTCAGGAAAATCTGATCATGTAGAGTAAATTTAGTTAGCCGTTTATGAAATTATCGGTATTGGTTCATTTCAGTTTATCAACATCAATATTGTTTCATGGTCAACAGGTTCAACCGGTTGTCCATCACGTATCAATCAGTTGTTCAAGTGGACATTGTGTGGACAATGGATGATGATTATGATGAAAGAAAGTAGCATATTATGTATGTCCAACAGGGAGTTTGGGTAACAAAATAACAATCATGGTTTTGTTATGATGGTGATGATGATGAAGTGAGAGGAAAAGATGAGGCAAAAAAAAGAAGAAGAAGAGAAAATATTTGATTAGGTTGAGTATTAATAATGAAAGTATTTGAAGTTGTTAAGGTTAATACCAAATTCTGATCATTTCATTACGTTAACTGAATATTCATTGGGATAAAAGGACTAGTGTGATGACGATGATAATATGATGCAAAGTGCATTAAGTTCATCAACATTCTGATGATGGAAAACAATCAAGATGAACATGGTTATGTAAAGAATAAAGGATTTATCAAGATAATGAGAAGTATATTATGTCTAAAACAAAAGATGACGAAAAATGGAGATGAGAAGTGAGAGGGAAAACTTATTATGAAAATACAGAAGAAAATGAGACATAGAACATTATCTGATTCTATTTCATGATAAAGGTAATCAGAAATTTAATCATGACGACGACTTGAAGTCTTAGAATTGGAAAATTTCAAAATTACACTACAAAAAACAAGCCAATTAAATGAAGGTAAAAAAATTCGATTCTCAAGTTTACTTTTTTTTCTCATAAGAAAATACTTTTTCTCGGCTCATAATTTCGATCTTCAGGGGAAATTTCGGAAGATTTTGCATTTAAAATTCGAAGCTTTGGAAAATATGGATGTGGATATTGAAATATTCGAAAACTAAGAGAGAAAAAATGTTCGAGTTACGAGTTTTGTTTCTTTTATTTTCTTTCATTATATTCTCATGGAATTTTGAACGAAAATGAATGTTCATATAAAAGATTATTTTACTGAATTTTTTCTCCGTGAAGATAATGATTTCTGTAAATTGTCAGAATCGGATAAATACATTCCCAGAATTTTAATGCTCTACTAATAGTATATATGATTTTTATTTCCTTTTTCAGATTCTTTATCTTGTTAAACCTTTTAGTCAGATTGTTTTTATCAATCATTTGTTTCATTCAAGTTTCATGATAATATTATTTTCATGATGATAATGATGATAATCGGGAAATAATACGTTCGAAAATTGAGTGATAATGTTATAAGTAAACATCAAACAATTTTCTATCTGGAAATTTTAGTTTCATGATAACTCTTGAATTCTGTGGTAAGTTTTCATGGATTGAGAAAACTTGAAACAAGCTTCAACCAATGGATTCTCAATTAAGTCGACTGATTATCGAAATTTATTAAAAATTTATTGAAATTTTCCCATGAATGAAATCTAAGTAAAATTATCACTCAATCATCTCTATATCTTACTTTTTCCACTTCTCTTATAATCTAAGAACTATTATCGGTAATGTTTTCTTCAATTTCTTAAAGGTGCTCATCATGCTAACATTTACAAACCTGAGTTACGATTGAGAATAGATATTTTTCCTGTTCTTTTCTCGTTTCAGAGAATGTCTCAAGTCTGAGAGACTAGAATGTCAAAGTGAATGTTTATCTTTGAGCTTCCAAATGAAAAGTAATTTGCTTATTTGAGGTCACATCATGTGGTTCATTTCTCATTCCTTAATCATCATCAGATTAACGAATGATCTAGATTCATGATGAAGATGATGATTATCTTTATACATTTGAACATTATTCTGGAAAATCTTTCACCTTATTATGAATTGGAAAAAGACTTTTATATGTTTCTTTTCAGAATTATCTTAGAATATATTTTTATCTCTTTTTTAACCTCTCTCTCTCTCTCTCTGAATCGTTCCTAAAATTTATCCAAAAGCATTCTGACTATCATACATATAGATATAAATTATATTACCTTGTACTTTTCATTCAAATAGATTATACTTTTTTATATATAAAAATGTCTGTCAGATCCATTATGTGCATGTATATTACTATGCATAGGTGGGTATTCAATAGGACTGAGGGTATGCATTCTTTCAACAACCAACTGATGATAAAGTTGGTATGCAAATCAATACTATTAGGAGATAAAGTAAATAGTATGACGAGAATATATAAAAAAATTGTGGTGCAAAAAAGTTTTCACCAAGTTTTCTTGGAAGAAGAAGAAGAAAAAAAAGATTCAGTACCCATGGTGAATACCCTCATGAATACACATGTGAGTGTTAATAATATAATATAATAACAATACATGAGAATTGTCAGATAATAAGAATGTTTTGAATTGAGAACAAAATTTTCTGTGGGTAAATTTTTCTTCTTCACACTTTCTATTAACTCTACTGTTGTTGTATTCAAATTATACACGGTGACACTTTTCCTTGAGATAATTTGTGATTATTCAGAATGATGAAGATTCCATCTCTTACATTAGATGCTTTTTGTTTATTTCTTGATCACTTCCATTTCTACTCAATTTCAACTGATTTCTCAGAAATTTATTTCATTATTGTTTTCCCTTCATGATAATTTCATTTCAAAATTCACGTCAGATGCTCATTTTGATTTCTGGAAACCGCATTGATATTTAACTGCTAATCATAATATTACATTTTCCCTCAAATATAAACTAGACAAGAATTTCCATACATCTTGCAAATTGAAATTCGCGCGACTGTACTTAAATTCTGACTGGGCTATGAACTGGTCTTTGGAACCATCATATTATCAATTCTTTGCTCATTCAAAAATTTCCGATGATTTCATTTAGTTTTTCAAGCAATTATAATTCAGAGTATTGTCCCTGAAGGTATAATAATATTTCAATTCAAAATAGAGAGACATTCACACTTTGTCATTGAGCTGATTAAATTGTGATTGATTATTGATTGTGTTAATTTCAAACAGAACAAGCATTAAATTGAACGATTCAAAACTGTTCTCCGAATAATTTGAATAATCTAAACTCTATCATAGATAATAAACGAGGCGAGTAATTTTTTCTTCAAGTTCTCATTAGCATCTTTACCCTCATTTTTTTTATCGATATTTTTTGTTAATGCAGAATTTCTGAAAAAACTATTGAGTGGGAGGGAGAGAGAAAATCGATGATTGAATTTTGACCTCATTTGATTGATGTCAAAAGTAAAGAAGAAAAAAAAATAAAAAAAAATGATAATTCTAGAGGAAGAAAAGTTGTAATGAATTCATGATGATTCAACATTCATCAGATACCCTTAGTATTTTGTGTCATTGTAATAATAATTCTGATGTTTATCAGAATTATCTGTTGTGCAAAGTTCATTTGCTGAATAATAAATTCATTTCCATGAGTATTGTAAAAGGCAGCGAAAGAGAATAAAAAATTTTTCACTAGCCCCCTTCTCCATGCATATATAAATATAATATTAGAATAAACATTTTCCATGAGAAGAAATCGTTTCTCTTTACAGGGAATGATATTTTTCACTTTTTCCCTGCTTTTTCAATTGTACAGAACTTTGTTTCTTCGCTTCGCTCCCAGTCTTTTACCCACAAACTCAATGGGAGCTTTTAACTCTTTGATTAATTTCACCAAATTCTGATGATGATGATGATCAACATCATGGTAATAATATTGTGATGATGTTACTGGTTAAGTCATGATGATAAAGTGATTTCAATTATTATCAAAGTCTCTCAGTGTGTCATGGTTACTTTTTCATCTCATTTATTTGATTTTCAACTTTAAGTAACTTTTTTTCCCCTTCAAATGGATTTTTTTACTTCACGAGAAAAGTTCAAAGTTGATTCAAGAAAAGAGATTCGATATAACTCAATACACAGGTTGATCATTTTGTAGGTTGTTATCATAACGAAATATTAACATCCTGAATGGTTAAATAAAAGATTATCATCAAAGATTATGAGAATCATCATTGAAACTTATTCTAACTTATATATATGATAACTGGATTTCCAATTCCAATGGTAACTGAATATTACAATAAGATTTCATGGAGCTTAAAGTGGCATTTCTCATCTTTCCTATGAAGATAATCACCATTCCAAATGAGTCTCTGGTGAGTTTTTATCATAACAATTGGATTTGGAATATTAAAAATTCTCAATCACATGATAAGTCTATTGAAAAGATTCAAATTCATCTTATCATGATACTCAGAATGTTTGAAATATTTCTTCATATTTCAATCGGCGGCAAAACTTGCGATGGTTAAACAATTGTAAGAGAAAATGATAACATTATTTTCTTGTTACAATATTTTCATGATTCCTGTTACACCATAGATAATGTTATCTATTATATTATCATGAGAAATTTATTCTTATCAAAGAAATGAATGAGAGAAGAAAAAAATCTCTCCAAACTTTATCACTTTCGCCTCTCTGAGTTTAGTGAATTTTTTTTCTAGCCAGAATACTTAAGTTTCACTTTTCATGGTAACATTTGATTATACTAACAGAAAAATAATCATCATAAACATCATTGAATACACAATGTGTATGAAAATGGTTAGATTAAATTGAGAATAAAATTTTAAACATAAATTATTTATTAGAAATCAGAGAAACTGTTTCCTCATGGTGAATGAATGTTTCACTCGATGAAAATATTAAAGTATTAAAGAGAGACTGGAAATGTTTCATTCTAACCGAAATATTTTTCTGAGCAATAACTTTGACTTGGAACTTTTTATCTAATAAAAATTTAGAATAAAGAAGAAAAAAATTACTCCTTGTGGTGGATATTTCATCATGAATGACATATTGTATGAACCTTGAAGGAAATGATGAGAAAAATGAGAAAAGGTGATGAAAGCAAAAAGAGAGACTGAGAGATTCCTTTTCATCCCTTTTATCATCTTCGAACTGATCTTAAGCATCCATCAAGCTCACTAATA